GGAAGATGAAATCTGTTCCACTTTAATTTTAAAAGGGGGAGAGGGCGTAAAATCAGAAGCTTTTTTAAGCCATACAGAATTTTCAAATCATAGAGGATGCAGCCAATGTCTCAAGGCCCAAGTTGGAAGAGAGCCTTAAACAATAATGCCAGTGTATGAACAGCCATGTTTATATAAGAGCCAGCAATAATGCTTTAAAAGTCAGCATCAGTAAGTAGTGAAGTAGTTACCAAGGACTATATTTTTGTAATACACTTCCTCTCCTTCAATAAGCAGCAAGATTTCCCAAATTGTAGGGAGAAATGAAGGATAAGTTAGAGAAAAGCAGAAAATGATTTATAAAATTAAGATGCGTCAATTTTCAAGAGAAATGTGGTGAGGAAGAGTTAGAGAATAAGGGGAAACCACATTTCAAATTTTTTGCTCTGAACTGCAATATTAGATTTTAAAACACCAAAAAAAACCCCAGACCCAACAACACACTTAAATCATAACTATTAAATGCAGTTCATGTTATTTCTGAACTGGAACAAGGCCAGAATATACAGATAAATGGTAGCATTGACTATTCTTGTGTCCTTCAGACTTGTTTCTGATGGAAATAGCTGTACCTCTACTCTGTGGCTCCCCTCTTGCTGACACAAAAGATGTACCTATAGACGAGGGGTGAGAAGGCTGATACAAAATGCTCTGCTAAAATATCTTCCGACCCACTACCACTGGAAAAGCTCCACTTGAAATGCTGATGGAAACCAAAACAAATCTTCAACGGAGCCCTACCCAACCAGTTCATGTTTCAGTTCTTTATGAGCTGAAATTTTAAAATCTCTTATTCCCAGGGAGGAGGAGGAGAAGGATGTATCATTTTGTAATCTTCCAATTTTTTAGAATTTCCAGTGGAACGTGGATTCCAGTTTACATCTAGCTCTGGCACAAAGTAGATCAAAATAGATGGGGGTGACATGACTTTTTTGCTTAATTTTCAAAATAAACCTTTGAAAAGATACAGCATGTTTAAGACTTTCTAGTCTATTAAAATAAAATATTCAGTCACTACACATTTGCTGCTTAAGCTTTCAAATCAAATCACTGACCTGGAACTAGAATGTCACAGTGTTAGAACGTATTTTTATAGTGTTGGCCCTTTCCCCAACCCGTACACAACCCTGGGACTCCAACAATCTCCAAACACCTCTTCCACACACCATAGATGTTGTTTAACCAGAAGGGTACATGCAGCAGAGTGGCACTTTGGACTAACACAGCTAACTACTTCTCTCTGCTCATAGAAGGGTGCAGTTAAAGAACACCATACGCCTCCCCTTCTCTCACCAGCACCACAACCAGTAGAGACTGTAACCAGTTCTACGTAGACGAACCCACGCAGACTCCCTCCCAGCAGGTGGGATGCAAAGGAAGCAGTGAATTGGGTGCTGGACTTCACTAGTAGGCCTCTGCTCACCACTTGTTGGGATCATATCTGGTTATTTGATGCACCTTTCCCAAGGACCTGTCAGCCAGATACCTAAGTGCAATTAGAGAAACAACGTTCTCTACAGCAAGCATAACACAATGCATCATTACCAATAATCAGTCTGCCCTCCCATTTATGTCACAGAGGGTCTCTTGGCAGGCTTTAAATGATGTCAATACATTAGACTCAAATATTCCACACTTCTCTGCTGTTGCCAGTTTTTCAGGGTTTTGCTGCTAAACTTTACATCTCAGATACATCCCAGCATCTCCCACAGGAGGGGTTACTGGCTCTTATTTATAGACAAAATGTAGTCCAATCGGCTTTGCAAGGTACAAAAAGAGGATCCTTTTACTCTAACTACAACATCTACTTCAGAGATAAAGATAAGCAAGGTTTAAAGATGGAAAGGCAACATGAGCTGTCCAATTGCTCTACTGAGCGCATGTCAATGCTGTCTGTGTTCCAGTGATACTATACTAAACAAGCTTTTATCTTTGCTGTCATTAACAAGATACCACTTAGCCTTCTTGCATACTGACGAAGATTAAGATCCAGAGAATCCTTCAAAGATGAATTTCTATTAGCAGCAAAGCCAACTAAATAGCTTGTTTCCTCGTGTCAAGGCAGTGGTTTTCAACCTGTGGTCCACGGACCCCTAGGGGTCTGCAGACTATGTCTAGGGGGTCCACAAAAGATGACTACGATCAATCAAAAGTACATTATGTGAATACTCCCACAATTCAAAGGGGTCCACACCTCCATTCAAAATCTCTAAAGGGGTCTGCACCTCCATTCAAAATTGTTTAGGGGTCCGCAAATGAAAACAAGCTTGCAAACCACTGTGTTAAGGCCTTGAGAAGTTTGTGGCAAGCCTGTAACATTATAATTCAAATTTTTGCCCACAGTGTTGCACATGACACATTGCCATCATCAGGTAATTTACTGTCCTAATGAAAGGAAATGATTATCTTTCACTGAAGGGGGATAAACTGGTGACCATCTACACCTTATTCAGACTCTCAGTCCTTCAAAGATAAAATTTACCGCTGGCCAGATTTTGAAGCTAAGACCTACCCATCACTGACAGGTATAGATATACACTAATGAAAGCAGAATCAGGCCCACAGTCTTTCAAATATTAAGGACTTAAAAAAAAAGCCGCATTCTCAAACTACCCTGTGCTAGTTTTCTCCCATACTGTAGCTGGTATGCTTTTGAGGGAAGGGCCTGTTAGCAATCCCTGCTTTTTCTACAGTGCTGAATATACCAGCATTATTGTGATATAATATAGCTATAAAATAATTCACAGTCCTCCTTTTCTTGGTAAATTAAGTTCATCTACAGTGAAAAAAATAATTGCAAAAAAAAAAAAAAAAAAAA